CAAGAAAAAGTATTTGATGAAGTCATATTGGTAAACGTCTTGGATAGCGGGGATTCAGCACACTTGGCATTAATGAAAAGACCTGAGCTGGGTGTCACACTAACAAAGCTTCACTGCTGGGAACTGACGCAGTTTTCAAAATGTGTTTTCATGGATGCAGATACAATGGCAAGTGGTCGTGTCTCATGGTACCTCTTAATGACCTGGTATGGGGGTTGTTGGATTTTCTTTTTCTGTGGGTTGTTGTTGGTTTTGTTGTTTGGGCTTTTTTGGGGGGAGGGGAGTTAGTGGTTTGTTTTGGGTGTTTTTCTTTTCTTTTTAAGAGGAGGGGTAATAGAGCCCTTTTTGCTATTTGGACTAGTAACTCTAAAGATGTATGTGCCTTTTTTAATCTAAATTAATTGTAACATAGTCTGTGGGGACCATCACCATAAAGTATTGTCTTCCATAAGACAAGAGCATTGATATGAGAACTTTCTTTCATGTCTTAAGGTGGATGTCAAAATCCATTAGAACATGATACCCCAGTTCCTAACCTAAAAACCAGAAAACAATTTTTTACCCCCTTTACAACTAGGTTTTGTCAAATATTGATGAGCTTTTTGAGAGAGAAGAGCTGTCTGCAGCACCAGATCCAGGCTGGCCAGACTGTTTTAATTCTGGAGTTTTTGTTTACCGACCTTCCATTGAAACATACAATCAGCTGTTACAGCTTGCCACAGAGAAAGGCAGCTTTGATGGTATGTATTAATTTGTATTTCAATATAAGTTAGACCAAAATGGTAATAGTGGTTGGGATGGCTCAGTAACTACATACGTGTCATGGGGACTCTGTATGATAGAATTCTGAACTCAATGTAACTACACAAAAATTTTATCCTTCTCACAATAGAGGCTATCATTACAACATGTAGTAAAACTACTTTTTTCAGACTTCATGAAATAAAAAAAACTAAGTTTGGCCTCCAAACTAGCAGCTGTAAGCATTAGCAATGCAGAATCACATAACAAGAAATCTTAATATGTAGCAAGCACAGTGCATGCATTAGCAAATGAAACTGCAGTACTATGCTTCATGCATTCCTAACACTCAAGGCTTGAATGTTCTATGCTAACTCAAGTTGCTGTGGAAAAAATAGTACTGATCAACTTAAGTGCAGCTTCAGAGAAACAAACATTTGAAGATGCAACTATCTCTTTATGTGCTATGTGATAGCTTCCTGTCGTTATAGGGTGGTGACTGTCTCTTGCCCAGTATCAAGCGCATGTAGTCTTGGCTGCTTCCCACTATAGGTCACTTGGGATTGGCCACTGTGCCAGATTTAAGCTTGAGAAGCCAAGTTCTGCTGTCCTGTAAGTCTCCTTACCAGTCCATTACCACTGCAGTAAATGCACACGTCGTTTGAAGACTGCTATAGTTAAAGGCTTCTGAATGACTATCACTGTCTCCTGTCACTAAATTTCATTATGTAACTACTGGGGTATAAAACAAAGGTCTAACTGAAAAAGCTACAGAAAATTACATAAATAAGACCATAAAATAGAACTCATAATAGAAGGTAATTAGCCAGCCTGTTGACTTACCTTTCAGTACTTTGTAAAAAGTAAAAATTCTAGATGTCACTCCTAGTCTGTGGAATAATCCCTGTTACTGTGTGGACTCCTGTGTGTGGCCTCCTAAAGAACATCAGTCGCAGCTGGATGCTTAATGCTACCATATGAATAAACTCTAGTGAAAATGAGTACTGCAATGTAATGAACGGTCTGTCTGTACCTTGCTACTGACAAGGTAGCAGTTGGTAGCTCTGGGAGCGCTCTCAAATGTTGGGTGTAAATTGATGACCAGTTATGGCAAAAGCTGTAGCATGGTACTGAATTGTTGCATTTAAAAAAACAAACAAAAAACCCAAATCAACCAAAAAACCCCAAACAAACCCACATCTTTGTGCAAACTGACTGTTGAGTAGCTCCAGGAACATCTGAGACTTGGTGACTGTCTCCTCTGAGCTTTGTGCTCAACTGCTAGCAGACCCCATCTTCTAGGTCTAAGGCCGCTGTCCTCTAAAAGAATAGAACTGCTTCTACAATATACTTTCTGACTTGAAAGCTAAAGCCACAGAGTGGTGAAACTTCCTCAGTGTCCTAAACATGAAGCAATTGTTGCAGCTCATAACAGCAAAAATGGTGGGTTAATTGTTTAGGTACAAAATTTCTAGAACTGTAATTTGTACTTCAGCTTTAAAATTTACTCAGTTTTTATTAAATGGTAGCACTGATGTGAGTAATGAGACCACAGAGACTTATACTACCTGCATAAGCTGCTGCTGAGGTCATGAACTCGGTGGGGAGAAAGGGGATTTAAACTTAAATTGATCTAGACAGTAAAAAGTTCCTAGGAAACTTTTTTATAAGAGAAACGCCTGTGAGGGGTCACTGCCCTTAATAGGACACAGGGATGCAAACTCAACAAGCTACCAAGATATGCATAATTGAAGTCAAGCTCTAAGTGCCCCATCTGCAGTAGTAGTAACTAGGGAATGCAAGACTTTCCAGAGTATTCTGTGTTTATAACGGTAGACAGATGCCTCCTATGTAATGCTGTTGTCCAGAAATGGTAGAGTGATGGCTGCTTATGTAGACAACTACTTTGTCTATTTGAACTTTACCTTTCTAGATAATGAGGAATATGTCATGTAATAATTCTAGATACCATCTAAAAGTAGCGGAGGGGAAAAAAGTTTGGTTTTAAAAGAAATCTGGTAGCACTGATACCTTAAGAATGGTGCTATTGCTTCAACAATCCTCTGGCTCTCTAGCCTGGCATCTAAAATGGTTGCTTTGTATAAAGATATAATGCAGCCAAGACTCTATCTGTAGATATGTAGCTAATGTAGCTACTGCCTGATTCTTTCACCTTAGACATAAGGTCCAGTTTATACAAGACTACTGTTGAAGTCTGAACTACGACAGCTAAATGCTGCTTTCAGTGGCTGCTTTGGCACAAATGCATGCAATCTGAAAAAAAGTGGAGTATGTAAAACAATCTGAGTGAGAGAAAGTCCTGTAGAATAAGTTAAATACACTGTTGCTGCCCCTTCAGTTATGAGCTATCTGTTCTGAGAGGGCATCCCAGACTTTCTTCTTTTAGATGATCTTACTGTTAACATATGCATTCTTAACACAGCATTAAGTTAGAAGTTAAAGTGAAACATAGCTAAGTAAAGACCAGAGGACTTGTCTGGTTTCTTTGACTCTTCTCTTGTGATGGGCACAGCGTCTTCAAAAATGTTTTCCTTCCTTTATGGGTTGAGAGGCAAGTCAGAGGTTTGAAATTACTGGACTGAGTCTCTAGGCAATTTCTCACTCTGCAATCTGCGTGTATGCTGACAGCTGTAACAGGATACTTTAGAATTTATATTTGTCAGTGTACTGTCTGTACATCCAAGTTTATGCCCAGTGCCTAGATACTCCAGTTGCAAAAAGCAAATTCTGCTCAAACAGCAGTGAGTGTGTAAACATTAGTGCTGCCCTAAATCTGATCATAGGCCAATAAAAAAACCCTTTCCTGAGTCAGCAGAGACGGAGTACTTTAGAAAATTAAAGATTAAAATAAAACATTGTCTCTTTTCTAACTAAGCTATCCATTTACCTACTCTTTAGCAATGCTACTTGTGAATGCAGTTACAGGTGAAGAGAAGACAGCAAATGAAAGTTGAGGGACTCCCTTCAATCTCCTTCATAAGAGTAACTATTAATACTTAAAGACTAAGTATATTCACTGCAATAAAGAATGAATGGGTATAAATAAGTAGTTTTTACTTCTCAGTAGCTGCTTATAAACTAGTCTGCTTTTGGCCAGAGGCTATTTTTTTAGCTACTCTACTACTGATGTACCAAACAACTTCAGATTGATTTGACCTCGTTACAACCTCTACTTGCAAACTAAGAGGTGACCCCTCTCAACACAGTAGGTCTGGCCATAGCTTAGATTGTTATCCTCACTTAGGGGTTAGTCAGCAGCTTTTTAGTACAGAACTAGGAACGCCTATTGCCTGGCAAGGGATTTTATGAAGTTTTACTAGAGTTGTCACCAAGACTGAATGTGTTTTCCTTATCATAGAATCATTAAGGTTGGAAAAGACCTCTAAGATCGAGTCCAACCGTCAACCCAACACCACCATGCCCACTAAACCATGCACCTAAGCACCTCATTTCTACTTCTTTTAAATACTTCCAGGGATGGTGACTCAACCGCTTCCCTGGGCAGCCTGTTCCAATGTTTAACCACTCTTTCAGCAAAGACATTTTTCCTCACGTCCAATCTAAACCTCCCCTGGCACAACTTGAGGCCATTTCCTCTCGTCCTTTCGCCAGTTACTTGGGAGAAGAGACCGACACCCACCTCGCTACAGCCTCCTTTCAGGTAGTTGTAGAGAGCAATGAGGTCTCCCCTCAGCCTCCTCTTCTCCAGGCTAAACAACCCCAGTTCCCTCAGCCGCTCCTCATAAGACTTGTTCTCCAAATCACATCACAGTGAAGGTAGATGCATCCAGCATTGCAGGTCTGACAGACCCCTGATACCCTCCCTAACTGGGATTGAGATGTTGGTCATGCAGCTGTAAGCATAAGTAATAAAACTAATTGTTGGCCCTTGATCAGCTACAGCTTTCCTGAAGCTGAACAGTACTCAATTGTCAAGTCCTGGTTTTTGCTGCCTTACACAGCTTGAACTTAAGTTGTAAAAGAAAATGGCAGGGTTTGTGACCAGCTTGCTATCTTTTAGCAAAAGTAACCCCACACATACTACCTTTTTCATTCTCTGCATTTTTTTTATTTTTCAAAGGCTGCAAGGTTTACAGGGTGGTTCGCAAATAGAACTCTAGTGCTCTATGTCAAACTCCTACTGGACATGACAACAGCATTACCAACTCTTAATTAGTGACATGATTGAAAAAGATCCTAAAACAGCTATCTGATGCTTGTAGCCTATTAATGCTTTCTCTTTCAGGTGCAGATCAGGGGTTATTAAACACCTTCTTCAGCAGCTGGGCAACAACAGACATGAGCAAACATCTACCATTTATTTATAATTTGAGCAGCACTTCTGTATATTCCTATCTTCCAGCATTTAAAGCGTAAGTTCAAAATTCTAGGAAGACTTTCAGAGCTTATATAAACTCATTTCTTGTAACGGAACAAACGGGCACAATGTGAACTTACACAGGTTTTTCTAAAGGGAGGCCATTATTGTCACTAAAAGAAGGTATAATAGTTTCCACTCTGTAAAAAAAAAAAAAAAAAAATTAATCTCATGATAAATGCAGAGAGAAAGCTGTATCTGTAGCTTAAACCACTCATCCCTGGTGGTAACACTGAAGTTGATTTAGAGTAAGCACATTTGACAGGTCACTTGCAAAAGGAAGAACCACTACTCCAGTATGGGATATTGTCTATTACAGTTCTAACCAAAGGCAGTAGCTCTCAAATAAGCTTGAGCTGAATGAACTCCAGCATGTCACTGGTGGTACTGTTCCCACCTAGATAACTTGCACTTTCCTCACTCAAATCACTTAGTGTATTTAACAACCCGTAGCTACAGTTCATCTAATCAACCTATACCATTTAAATAAACATGGTGAACAAAGACTTGTATAAAGCTAGAATTCTCTCCCAACAGTCTTTCTAGATCTCAGACAGTTCCTTCAGTAATAGCAAGATGGAACAAAGACTACAGCCAACCACCATACATTTGCATGCTTCCTGTGTAAGGAGAACAACTGTATCCTCCCTAGCTAGCAGTATGAGATTTGGCATGTGAGTAAACCATGTGTCAGTGGCAAGGGTCACTCAAAGTGTTACAATAAACACAGGAGGAAGGGGGGGAAGCATGGGAAGCTGAAATGTTACACAGAAATTCTTATTCATTAAGGGCCGCAAAAGTTGGGGGGGATGCAGAGGGAAAGTACTCATTGCATAAAAACAATCTGATCTCTGAATGACATCAGGTCACTAGTGTCTAAAGCAGTAGCTAGCATAAGCAGGACTGTTGCTGGCTCAAGATCAAACTATGTCTTGTGATCAGAATACCATTTGAAATCCTGTCATGCTAAAAGTGGAACACTTATTTAAAGAAATATATGCAAGCCTAAGAATGACTAAGTAGTTGGATAGCATTTGATAAGCTAACATCTATTGTAAAGTATGTCCTTCTTCCATGACTGACTGGTTGTTAGTCACATGACCTTAAAGTTACAAATGACCTTGTTGCCACAAAAGCCTAAAAGGATTTGGGGGCTCCTGACAAAAATTCCATTTAACTGATTGAATCAATTGCCTAACTGAATTCAGTAGACCTTCAAAAGTAGAATGCTGGAAGTGCAGCCCTTTTAAGTAGAATGCCCTGCTCAATAGGTGGAACAATTTTCCTTGGTTAGATCAGCAGCTATGCTCCTGATAATCAGCAGTTGGAATAAAGTGAAATTTAAACCTACTGACATCAATAGCCAAGTTTTTTGCAGCTTTGTACAGCGAGACTAGATTTCACAGCAGTCTCAGTAATCCCTTTTTCCAAAGGAAAATGCCAATTCATGACATGTTCTCTAAATTCAAAACATTGATGAAGGACTTCTCTGGGAGATGGGGAAAGACAGATTAGTTGCTAAGGCCAGTGTGGACATAAAGCTTCCTAACAGTTGAGCTTAAACATCAAAAGAAAGTATTGCAGATCTAGAAACTATCTAGAAAGCAGATACTGAAAACATTGTAGAAGCTTGGCATCCATCAACTGTTGTACAGGTCTTAAGTGGACAGAATACTAAGAACACACTTCTCCATTTGCAGCAAGTGTAACATAACACTTCTTGGGCATTCTTTAGCTTAAACAGCCTTGATTTTTAAACAATGACAAGTTTCCTCAGAACAGCAGCAGCCTAAGATGATGAAAACTCAGGCTGTTAAGTAATGCTGTGACAGCTAATAAAACTAAGGAAGTCCTCTTATGCCAAGATTTGGCATATGGAGTTTAAAGCTCAAGCCTAGGAATTGACCTCTTGAAGGCAGATTTTTTTTTTTCCTTGCACTTAGTGCAAATGCTTGACCTTGTTTTACACATGCATACGTTTTCATTCTGCAATAAGATCAGTCGTGTTCAAAACATTGAACATGAATATTGAAATACAGTCAAGGATCTTCCAGTAGTACAAAACCCCCCACCCAAATGCATACTGCCTTGTTTTGAATATTCTAAAGTTTTTGAAACACAAACTTAAAGGGTAGCTCTAACACTGACCCTTCTCTACATAATGCTTGTAATGCCTAACTATCTGGATCACTGACTTTGGAGTAGAATCTTTTTCACTTTTAAAACTAGTTCTGATTGCAACGGCTGCTTGAGACTGCTCTCTCCTGAGCTATGGACATCACTCTACCTAAAGACTTGAGTTGGCTGTAAGTACTTAAACAGCCCAGACCATTAGGTTTTGGCTGTATTCTGACTAGCGTAATGTAGAATTCCGTTTGCATTTTTTCTGTTTGTATAGCGATGCTTTCAGTCCCAGTAGGCATTGGCAGTTTGATCATTTAGCCTGCTAAATATATTCATATTTCTGTTTTCTGGACACCTACAGAAATTGCAGGTTAAAAAAAAATGTCTGCAAGTCGAAACCCTTGTTTTCTAGACAACTGCACAAACTGTGGGTTCTAACTTTTTCTGTCCAACAGGTTTGGTGCAAATACTAAGGTGGTGCATTTCCTGGGAAGCACAAAGCCATGGAACTATACATATGACTCCAGAACAAAAAGCATAAAAGGCAACATGGATGACCCTAAAATAGTTCACCCAGAATTCCTCAACATGTGGTGGGATACTTATACAGCTAATGTTTTACCATTATTAGAACAGCATGGAGTTGTTAAAGAAATTACTACAGGTGTAAACATGGTACGTGCTCTAATATTCTTGTAGAAACTACCTAAGTATGGATGACAGGTTCTTCACCATTCCACCGATTTCCCTTCCATCTGTCCAACTGAAAGCACGGGTGTGGTTTAGTGGTGGGATGTAGGGTTTTTTGGTTTTGTTAAGCTTGGAATAAATAATACTACAGAAGAGAAGCATGCTATAGTGGTCTTGAACATAGCTGACTGCTTGCCTAAAACAAACTATGTTAAGTAGCTAATGGTGCACCAGAAATTATACTGTAGTAACTTTTAATATATACAGAAAAGGGCCCTAACTCTTAATGTGTTGTAGCTAATAAGGTTCTCGGGCAGACGAACCCCAGTTCAGCATGCAATATGTACATATAGATCTTGCATGGTGAAACAAATCTAGGGAAGCCTAGGAGAACTAGAGAATGAATACTTACGTAGACTGGCAGTGATGAATCCCAATACTTATCAAAGCCAAAGTAATGCTTCTAACTCTAGTTCTCATTCAGAGTTTAGTAGCTTGCACCTGACTGCAGACTTTATTGTCTTAGCTTAGTACATGGGCCAGTTTAAGTTCTCAACCTTTCTAAGACCAAAGTTACTGATCTCTTAAGATGTGCTTTCTCTTGTTAATCTTACGTCTTTCTAACAAACTATTTGCAGCTATCGAGCTTGGTCTATACTCTGGCTTTCTCTTGTGGCTTCTGTAGAGAGGTATGAAGAACTTAAACTTGTCTTTTTTTTTTTCTCCCTGCTAACTTCTGTAACTCTGCTTTGTTATTTTGCTAGGAAAGCTGCACAATCCCTGCCCCTTGGCAATGCTTGCTGCTGCGCATGAGAACATCCACTTCGTTGTCCCGTTCTATGGCCTGTTGCTCACTCTAGCTATGCAAAGTATTTCTATATTTTTACTCCGCCTTTCCTTTTAGGCAGAGGTTACAGAGGCAGTGTCCCACATATCAATATCAGCACCATCACCAGTATTACCAACTGTATCTTCAGAAGAACACAAGGAACGGTGGGAACAGGGCCAAGCTGACTATATGGGAGTGGATTCCTTTGACAACATCAAGAAGAAACTTGATACCTACCTTCAGTAGAAATGCCTGTTTCAGACAGTGGTGATGCAAGGACTTGTTCCAGAACTAACTGCTAGAAAGGTGTAGATGGTGGTCGGTTACACTTGCCTAGTAGCTTGATTAAAAACTTCTTGGCTGAAAGCCTCTGCAGTGCTACAGATGAAGACTGAGCAAAAGCTAGGAAGCAGAATTCCTTGGGCCACCTATAACTGCCCAATTTTCAATTCTCCCCACTAGATAAACCCAGGTATTTTCAGCTTAAGTTTTCTTCTGTTGCGATCAATTGGCTCAACATATTCCTTGAAACTGGGTTTGTTACCTCACCTCATTAAGGTGATTAGCATCGATTCCTTTGCTTGCTGTTTTAGATGTAAAATCTACTTCATGGGATTGCTCATGCACTAGTGTGGTAGCCATTCTGCTTTACCATAAATGTATTAGTGACACTGGGATACATACAGATGTAACAGTAATAGCACTGCTTTGCTCTTCCAGTCACAATTGCACTTAAGTTTTGATCAGGTTCTTATGCACAGTGCCTACAGCATGGCAGAATGCATTTTTCAGTTCTGTATACTATGGGACTAGTAAAATGAGTTTTATCTGTTATTTGCAATGTTGCACTTGATACAAAAATAAAAAGTTGTCATGCATTTCTGGCTTCCCTAAACTCTTGAGCAAAAAAAAAAAAAAAGCTCTGAAGCAGTCTAACTGAAATATTGAACAGGTATAACCCTTAAGCTTTGCTAATGCTATTCTAGCTACCATTAGCAAATGTCCAGCTTTTAGTTCTGTAGTTATTTACAGAGTATATAGTTATTTGCTAGGGAGCTGTTTAGGGCCAATCCCCTTATTAGCTTGTCCTAAGTATAGGACAGGGCTACAGAGGAAGTACCTGCTGAAGCTACTCACATAAGCAACATGGAGCTTGGGAAGAGGGAATGTTTCTTTCAGTGACTAAAGAAAGATCATCCCTAACGTAAGCCCTGTACAGTGAACTTGTTTTTAAACACAATGGTGATGCTATTTTGGCAAAGAAAGACTGAATAGCTGCTTAAGTAACTGCATCTACCCTGATTAGGAAAAACTACTCTTTCTGTGCATGCAGGGAGTAAAAGAAAGTGCTTTTTTGCCACACTTGGGCTACGCATTGTATTCTAAGACACATGGAAAAGCAGTAAAAATACCACAGTAACAAAAGAATACTGTAGACAGAGATTGGCTGTTATCTGTACTAAGTTTCAGATCCATCCTTCAGCCAAAATTCTAAACAGAACTGTTGACAGCTATACTGTGTACTAGTCCTGAAACACTAAGAAAATATTATTTCATTATTTCCTCATAAAGGAGGATTTTGGCAGGAAGCTAGTGAGGGTGCTAAACTTCTAGCCTAGAGATAAACAATCAACAAGCTCTCACCATTTGCTGGTAAAGCAGAAGATGTGATCTGCATACAAGTGTTAGTTTGTTTTAACTTGGTTTTGCTACTTAATTGCTCTAAGATTCCTTGGTCACCATTCAGCAAAAAATGCTAAAGATAAGGTCCAAACCAAAGTAGCTTGTAGCTATTTAAAAATACATAGCATCTGAACTCCCAGTTGTAACTAGCCCTTTCCTGTGTGGGTTTTTCTTTTGCTGCGTTGGGTTTTTTAACAGGTAAATTCGAAGTTGTGTGAAAACAGGAGGGATTACTAGTTACAATCTGTAGTGACAAAAGTATACTTTATCCAACAAGTACGAATATTGGAGTTCTGCATGCTCACAAAATACTCTATGGAAAATGGTAAAATACTCTTTTGAAGACAGGTAAACAGTCTTAGTTTTGTTCCCCTTGTCTGTATTCGTACTAGAGAATAGGCACATTACTTCTTTTTACGCTTAGTTGGAGAGGACTGAAAGTGCAAAAGCATGAGACTATACCAACCTGAAAATTTGTTTTAGCATGTAAGTTTTGTTACGTTAATACAAGAAGGTAAGGAGAGATGCTGAGTAAGATGAAAACCTGCATGTTTTGAGTTAACAAATACAATGAGTAAAGAAAGAAAACCTATACAACAATTCTGTCCTAGCCTCTGTGACTCATACAGTGGTTGTTTACCCACAGCCTCAGGAAAGCGAAAAGGTATGACATCTGTATCAAACTCTATGCAGCTTATTTTCAATAAAGTGACCTTCGTGTCATTATCTGCCACTATTTCCTTCATAATTACTGCAGGCAGCATTTGCAGAAACAGAGAGATCTCTTTTTATCCTTGGTAACAGTATCAGTTGATACATCAAACAATTTTCTGCTCTAAACTGCAAGTACTCAAAACAGTAACTGAATTAAAGCACTATACTCAAAACATCATTATTCAAAAGAATCATAGCCCTGCTTAGATAGCGACTCAAGTATTGGAACTCCGTTTGCCTTTAAAAAGCATATAATCTAAGGTGTTCCTTAGATGGTGACAACTCAGAGCAACTCTGAAAAAGTTTAGAAGCATTTTTTTTTTCCATTTACATCTTTATTTTATGTAGGGGGTAAAAAAACCCAGAATGATAGACTACTAAGTCCAGTCTTTGGAATTAAAAACATTAAGTTCATAATTCCAAAAGCTCACTTCTAGAACATGCCACAGAACACAGCGTTAGAACTCCCAAGAAAGAGAACAGCAATAGCCAAAGACTACTTACAGTTCATTAAAAGCAAAAAGAAAACCCCAACCAACCACAACGCTGTGGTTTTTAACCACCCAAGTAACAGAATAGCCCCATCAAATCAGACAGGACTTTTCTGCTCTCAGCTTTGACTTTTAACTATTCTCTCAGATACATTAATGGCTTTCTTGGGAGAGCGCTTAACTAGCCATACTGCTTAGTACTAACTCCAGGAACTTTTTATTTGGCTTTGGAACATGGGAACGATCATCTAGTAGAGGAAAAATGATACTAGTAATTGTTTTCATAATCATAACTCAGCCACTCTGCAAAATGTCAGCATATTTTAACACAAGTAACGATGTAGCTTGACTAGCCATTGAAATGGGCCTCTTCCTCGTGGAATTTTAACTTGGAAAATGGGAAGAATGACACAAAGCCAAATCTCTCAGTCATAATCAGCTTATTCAGCTTATCTCTGAACATCAGAATCTGAAGCACAAAAATCCAAAGAAAGCTTAACTTGCAGAAACTCGATGAAAAAAAAAAAATTCAGTCAGGTGTAGCTCTGTTTTCTTTTATCAACATTCCAGTGACAACCAGTTACTGGGGTTCGCGTTGTTTTCCATCATTCATGTCTTTTTAATTCTTTCTCTAACAGACTTAAAACACACTCTTCTCCATAGCTAAGATGCTGGCTCCCAAAAAACTGCATCAGCTTGTTAGGTTACATATTTTGAATTCCTTTCTCGCTCCTTCCATTGGCTCACTATTTCTCCAAATACCAGACATCTTCCCTTTATTTCTCAGTCCTTTTCCATTTCCTATGTTTGCAATTCATCTTATAATCAGCTGGCTGGTATTCCAAGACATAAGAAAAGGTGAAAGGCATTAGAAGCAAATCAGATTCCATTTCTCTGCTGCCAAATACACTTCCTGAATCTAAACATAGAATCTAAACAGGACCTAAACATAGCAATCTCTGCCTCCGAGTCTAAGTCTGAGCGTTACAGGGAAGGCAGCACAGTGTTAAGAAAACACATAACAGAAGACCAGAATCAAATGGAAAGAGAAAGAAGGAACAGACAAGAATATTCAAGTAATATTCAACTGAGATTCTTCAGCGCTATTTATTATTTTGCAGTACATGAACATTAATAGTTTACCAAGTTCTTCCTCTATAAATCAAGATGCGTGCAGATCAGCATTCCATTAAGACATACGTATGGGATTGGAAAAGCACTTACCAGTGCAAGAAAACTGTTAGAAAGCTGGCAACTATTAAAATAATTTGTTCTGTTTAATTTATTTTGCAAGGGCTAACTGATTCACTGATGAGTGGGTCATATTCCACTTCGCATATAGCACAGTCGTACTGTTTGAAGTGTGTACAGAAATTATTAGAAAGCGTGTTATCAATACAAGCCTATGATTCTAGCATTTTATCCAAGTCACAAAAGCTTTACAAAAATCAGTGGAATTCTGTTTAAGGGAAGTAAAATATTAGAAGAAAGTGTTTTACAAATTTAAGTACTTCATTTTTTACTAGCTTCTGGGAAGTAATCAGAGGAACTCCCTGCTGCACCTGTGTATTATTCAGAAATAGTAAAAAAAAAATTTAAAATTTTGAATTAAATGCCATCTTTGAACATAGTCTGCAAAAGTAAGAATTCCTTATGAAGTGATCACTGACCACCTATTCCGAAACAAACAATCCAGATGATCTGTTTGGTTATCAGGAAACACAGATTGAAACACGAAGCTATTTCATTTCTATTCACCTCTAAAAAGAGATTAAATTCTTGCAAGTTAGAATGCATGAATATGCATTTCTGTTTTGAGGGATTTTTATGTATTCTTAAGCATTGTACATAATAAGCAACATTTTGAAGAAATGAACACTGGAAAGATTTCAGGAGTGCAAAACAAGTTTGTGCATTTCTAAATTAACATTTAGGAGCAAATTAATTCTTAGAATTTATTTGAAGTATTTATGTTTTGACCACAAAGACAGCAAAACTAAAAGTTAGCATGAGATACGTAACTTGAAGAGCAATATTAACTAAAATATTAAATGTATTATTTACTCAAAATACCACAGTTTCAAGCTATAAATCAATTAAAGCCTTAATTTCATTAATTTTTGTTTGGTTTACTTCACTTGCTGAAGGCTTTTTGGTAGCAAAGGCTCCTGCTGCAAGTTCCCTCTTCTTGTTCTGAATTTTCAGCATATTTTCTTCCACTGAATCCTTCACAATGAACTGAAATACAAAAAAAGCCCCACTGAAATGGATTTTTTTTTTTTTAATTAAATTTTAGGATGAGAAATTTATGTACTTTGGAAAAAAAAGTTAAAAAGCTGAGTACCCTAAAGCACACTTACATTATTTTGTTATTACTTTGTAAAGAAAACACAAGAGGGAAGGGTTATAAAGCAGTTGGAGGAAAAGGTTTGGCATTTTAAGGTTTTTGCCCCCCCTTTTTTTTTTTTTTTTTTTTTTTTTTTTTAAAACACTTACTGGAAGAATATCTATCTCTTTGCTACTTATATTAGAAGAGAACCTGTCTTCAATTTCCCAAGTAGTATGTTTGTGACTGGGTATTAATGAGACAGACCAGCTGCTCTTCTGCAGCTAAACAAGCTGCTATGACAAAAGCAAAAGCATTCTACACACCTTCAAGACAATGAACTGTAATAGCCAGGCTAGGCAACAGCAATACTACCCCATCTTAGTCACTCCAAATAGCTCAACAGGGACATCTAATTTCTAAAATTATTATTTCACAGGAAATAGGTTACATTTAATAAAATCTTACAATCCAAAATCCACTTCAAAAATCATACCACACTAAGTTTACTGGTGAGACATATAACATCACAATTCTTTTAAAAATACAGTAAAGCTTTTTGGAAAATTATTTATTTATTCATAACCAGAAAACTGTTCAAACAGATCATCTCTCAACTCACCTTAGTAATAACAACATTATGCTTCTGACCCAGCCTGTGACACCTGTCAAAACACTGGTCTTCTGCAGCAGGATTCCAAGCCTATCAGTAGCAGCAATGAACAAGTTAAATAACTTCCCTTCAAAATACATAGTAGGATGCACATGGAATCACAAAGAAGTCATTGTACCATCAGCTCTTGAAGAAATACTGCTTGCACATTAATTACTCCCAACCTAATGTCTCACTCCTTAAGTATCCCGCTATAAAGAAAGCTTTGAGAACAACTGGTTATATATTCATAACAAGCAGGAACTTCAGGTAAATGCTTTAAAAAAAAAAAAGTTTGTCAGGAGTCTAGGAGACATAAAATCAATCCTGTTACCATTTTAATTCTGAAATAGACACTGCATATACTAACTGCCTCAGTACCCTCTTCCTGATAGCAAAATCTGAACCAGCTGAACACAGGCAGTTATTTATCAGTAGACTAAGTCCCCTGACTTTTAAGAAAGCCCACATATACTTCCATTAATATATGCAATAATCGCCAAGTTACGTAAACAAGAAACTTGCTGAACACAAAATGGCAGTGTAGCCGTTCCTACTTATGCTTAGGATATAACACTAAGGATTTGTGAAATGCCAAGTCTGTGCTCTGCATTTTTCCAGCGTGTTTTTGCTATCTAAAGGTATAGTACTAATAGTTCTGACAGAATGGATATTTAAATCTACTTAAAACGTAATAATGTTCTGTGATAAGCAAGTCTCATGCAATGAGCTCACCTTGCCATGTCACCCCCATACTGAAAGTTATCTAGGAACTCTTCTTAATAACTCAGTGAACAGAAAACCTTTGATTTTGTACAATGACACAATGAGACATGAACCAATTCTGTTAAGAATACCATTTTGCTATCAATAAATGTAATTTACATTTTTATTCCTTACAAATAATTTTGCATTCCTGAGTGTTTTAATGAAAGGCAAAAGCTTCCTAAATTTAGATATCACCATCTTTCTCAGTCTCTTACAAAAAGTAACCTCAGACTAATGTCTGTCTTTACAAATTCACAAAAATAACAGAAGAGACTAGAACAGAGGAGCACTGCATTGTAACACAGAAAAAAAAAATACTGTTCCAGAAATTCCACTTCATGGCTTTTGAAGTTATTAAATGGAACAAACAGAAAACTACATTCAAAGTATCAGAAGAAAGAGAAAGAAAGAAAAGGAACCAATATCAAATGCTACGCTGTAAGGTGTCACACCACTTTGTTAACAGTACTACTAGCATTCTTTCCATTCACAGTAAATAAATGGACAGCACAAAAATACTGTGTTAAAACAAAAATGTGCCAGGGAAACAAATGAAGAAAAGCCCTATTTGCCCTTAACAGATACTCATCAGTGGCATTCATTCTCAGAGGGGCTTTCCTTCTACCTCTTAGGGAAACACCAAAGAAGCTTCACCGAGATTAAGCCAGATCATTATGAACAACCCATTACTCACAGGATCCATTAAAAACACTCGGGAAGCTGCTGTCAGATTTAATCCAACTCCACCTGCTTTCAGCGACAAAAGCATTACAGTTGGGGATCCTGCTTGGCTGCTTTGGAAACACTGAATTGCTTCTACTCTTTTCTTCTGTGCCATTGACCCATCCAAACGAGTAAAGGCAAACCCTGATTCTCTGAAGAGAAAGCAAAAATGTTCAATTTAACAATCCATTTTCTGTGACAATAGGAAATAAATACATTAAAATGCATACTTAAAATTCTGCATTTAACAGGTGATACGTTAAAAACAAAAAGAATGAGATTCATGGCTTTATTCCACTAAACAAAGTATTTAAGTAGTCTGTTCCTCTTCTGAATTTCTAAAAATCAGAAGGACACTATATTCTTTGAGATATCTTTCTAAAACACCGTAAAAGCACGTGTTTATTAAAAATGACAGTAGTTCTACTTACTTCAAGGGATATTCTATCAGTGACAGAAAAGTTGTGAACTGAGAAACAACCAGACATTTAGCAGTTGGATTATCCCTCCGTAGTTCTATCAAAGCATGCATGAGAGCATCTATCTGAAATCAAATGAAGACTTATGCAGCTTATTCTGACTTGGTTAGATTCCACTCCTACAGGTGCTTTGATAAAGTTCACATCAATTGAGAAATCACTGTTCAGTAATACCTTTTAAACAAACTATTCTTAAAATCTGTGGGAAGTTTCTTTTAAGTTTCCAAAGGAAACTAAGGGTTGAACACTGTTAACAGTCACAAACTACAGGGGGATTGATGGTGCTTTGGGAAAGAAGATTCACAAACTTGTTTTCCAGACATACTTCCCACTGTCAGGAGTCAACCAGTCCCCTACCTCCACAGCATATGGAAAAAAGGAACAGAGTACTGGAACTCTGAAAAGTAAGGCTCAAGGCAAAGGACAGCCACCAGGCGAGTCCTCTACTGTAGCAATGCTCAAGAAGCGAGAAAGGCTTCCCTCAGGAATATTCAGGCAAGCTACGCAAGACCCTTGGCTAGGTATGACAGAGGATAAGGAGGCACCAGAAGCACTCTTGGGACCAACATGAGAACAAAAGAAGCTAGAAATTGGATCTGAGGCAGAAGAACATTGCCAGTTTTCTCTTGTAAGGTTTAGCTATGATGAGGTAAAGAACCACTAACTAGAGAATGCAAGTAACTGCACCAGATAAAACAGAAAAAAAAATTTAAAAAGTTAATATTCTAGAGCACAGTGTCCTAAATCAGTTTTTAGGTCTCCACAGAAAGATTTTTAGGGACTAAGTTTATAACCAACTTTTGAAAGAACAGTAACTTCATTACAAATTAAAATTAAAAATTTAATGTTTCAGAAAAGCAATCTCAAAAAGGTAAAAGTACAAGCAGGAAGATTTAATTTTTGGCAGCGAATGCACAATGAAAGTGAGGCAAAAAATGATGTGGCAGACCTTGAGAAACAGGTCTGCAAAGTAAAATAAAAATATCTCACTAGTTTATCTGACAAGTGTTATATTGAACATATGATGCCCATTTAGTTTTCCCCTCTAGAGCAGAGTATATGTTCTTTAGACGAGTTTTGAGAAAGAAGGATTTATTTAGATTTTTAGTATCCAAAAGTAAATTAAGAGCTGAATAGTTTCAGTTGTTATAGAACTACTTTATCTTCAGAAACAGAAACAAAATGCAAAGCAACAGCTCTTTTACCGAAAGTTTTATTTTATTAATACACAGCTATGTACTGCACAATGTCCAGCATCAAATTACAACTGATGCTCCTTTTGCCTTGTTTCCCTGCTACAAAATTTGTTTGTGATGAGATTTTATTATGCATTTTCTCCTGTGCTGGCTAGACATGCCATACAGACTTTTAAATAATAAAGTATGTTATGCATATGTAAAGTATGTTCAGCATATTTACAGAAAAATTCTAGAGAGTGCTCAACAAAACCATAATGAAAGCCAAGTAAAACACAATGGAATGTACCTTTGAACTGGATATCCACTCCTGATCAGACTTCCTTCCATTACTGGAGTCTATTTCCCCTTCTAGGGGACATTCCACCAAGTGCTCTACTCGAAGCTCATTCCTACAGAGAGGGCATTTGGCATTTGGCTACAAAAAAGCCCAAATAACATTAGAAGAAACATATTAAATCAAATTATTTATAGTGAGTACTAAAGATCACCTTTACAAAGCACCATTTATGAAATTATTATATTAGTGTTCATACAAAAAATCCTCAAGGAGTACATTAATTCTTGTAACACACTGCTTTGTCATTTCTGATGTAACAATCAAAATATTTTATTTGTGAGAACATTAAGGTGACATAAATGCTGCATGTTTTAAAAACACTCCGCCTTCCTTAGAAGTGGTCTTGTTTCTGAGCATATTTATACTTGAAATAAGCAGCTCAAGATTTAAAAGCAAGCAAATACTTGGGCTATGGGGAGAAGACTATTTAAAATATCAGAAAAATAAACCATCTTTCAAAGACAAGATCTTTCTTAGTTACAAAAAATGACCTTTTACCCTTTTTCTTCAAAGCCTGCACAGAAATAACAGCAGTCTGATGAAACATGCATTGTCAGGGCCAGACACAGGGTCTCTTCTCTTTTTCCCAAACAGACATGAGAAATGAGACAACACTTAACACCAAAAGCTTTTTCCTCTGAAGCATACTCTAGGTAAGGTAAAGTTTAGAATTTATACAATAGCACTTCCATAGGACTACTCACAACACTTAACAGAAGACTGTGTGCACTAGACAAATACACAACGTTGCGACGCAAAAGTGACAAACATCAAAAACTTCTGCCTAACAGAGCAACCCTTTAAAATTAGCTAACTCAGTTTATATAGCAATCTGGCCACAGAACCAAGGCATCTTTAGACAGGCTGCAAAGCAGACCTCACAAAGCAGATGAGTACTGGGGACTGCTAATCTGGAATGAACCTCTCGCCAATTAAGGACGCTGGCAGTCATAGTCTACATACATGAATTTATTGCAGCTATAAAGATATCCTTTCAAGAGACAGAATCTTAACACAAAGGAATCTGACGTAACAGTCTCCAAACATAGTTACAAATGAATCATTCCTGATTTGGCAGCAATCCAAAAATTCTCCAGTGATGAGACAAAAATCAATGAATTCTAATAAATCTGAAAAAGTTTTCAGGGAAAAAAAATCCTAACAGTGCTCAAAGACTTTTTTTTTTTTTTTAAATAACAGGATCACGTCTTTCTACAACCCTTCTCCAATTTAGTACTGTAATTAAAAACAACAGAAAACCCACAACACAGCCGAACAATGCCAACACAGATATGGAAGACTTGCACTGAAAGCATATGAAAGTGACAAAAAGTGTCTCGCAATCAACAACTAGAAGAAAAAAAAGAATGCATATCTGGCAAGCTTTTACAAGAATGCAGTTAATACACAAAGACATTAGATTACGGTAGAGATTTTATAGCTTTATTAGGACTTCTGCATAGGATCTTTACTTACTTGCACAAGTCTGAAGCTAGCCTCAATGAAAGACTGAAATAAAGCAGGTGTTAACTCTCAAGCTGTTAACTACTAAAAAGTTTTTCCAATTCCAGTAAATACTTTTAGGTTAACATTAGAAAGATAAAATGGTCTCCAGGTTTGTAATACAATGAAAGGCCAAACTTCTCACTCAGCAGTTCTGTGTTGGCAGCTTCACATCCCATTCCTCACTGATGGCTTAATGCTCTCATTTGTATTAATAATGGAAACAACAGGCATCTTGCCTGGAAGAATCCTGTTTGAACCCAAGCTGTTTTGGGAGAGGGGGTATGTGTTTGTTTGCTTTGTTTTTAAGGTGGTAAGTAAAGTACTTTCCTGAGCTATTTACTAGGAGAGAGTTGCATTGTAACCATTCACGCACAGGAACTACCCAACTGAGATGCAGCACTAGGACAAATACCTATCATGTGGAAACAGTGAATTCCCCAACTCTGGAATTTAGATCTCTGACAGTGTTTTGGCTGGAAGCTGCAAAAACTTTCTCGGGAATTGATTTAAATCAGGAATCAGTTTGAACATAAGAAAAGCTTACTCACTCGCTGCTTTATAAACTCACGATAATTCATCTTCAAAAAGCAGAACCTACAGCCACCTCTGTTCAGACTTCACTACTATGAAAGCCATCTATGGAACAATGCGGGATTGGACAAAGGCCCTAGTTCTGCAGACTCCAAGGTCCTTTCTAGGCAAAGCATAGTAAATACCTTGACTGTACAGTCAAGTAATACAGGTTCCATCATGTCATAACCTGATTTATTTCTCTGCATGCCTAAATACACCTGAAGGTTGAGTAGGGGCACTCAACTCTGCTACAGACACATCAAGAACCTCTGCACTGGAAGAAGGCCTCTGCAAGTGCTCTTCCCTTAGAGAATAATTTCACACCACTAGTTTCTCTCAAAAGTCTCAGAAACTCTCAACTGGGATATCTGCATCAGAACCTTGCATGTCTGGCAATGAAATAAAGTCAATCTACATGCCAAACAACACTTCCTACCTTTGTCTTGTTAGCTTGACTGATTATGCACAAGCAGGGACTAATTTGTCCCCTGTTGCCTCCTATAAAGAACACCACCTACGTTTAGTCTGGCACTTGAAGCCCTACTGTGGTTGAGTAGGAGACAGAACAATTCCAGAGAGGAAGTGCAGCAGCACTGGATACGGATGATGAGACTACCACACTATCAGATTGCCCTAGAAAGCAATGGGCAAACAAGAAGGAAAAGTATAGCTTAGAAATGCACAAGAAAAATAAAAGCTATGTTTTTCAAAAAAGCAAAAGAGGCTCATCCACAAGCTTATTCTGGAGAGAGTCCAGAGAAGGGCCATAAAGACGGTGCTCTAGCAAGGCAGCTATTTCACCGTAGAAGGTTATCAGCTTGGAATAAGGAGAGTAGACATGATTTTAGTTCAACAGTCAACTTTCAATACACAGCTTTGGTCTCTTTCAAGCACAACAATATATACACGCATCACATCACATACAAGCAGTGAAAAGGCATCCAGCTATATGGAGGTATACAATGCTGCATTTGATGCCATCACTTTTACCCTAGGGACAAAGTAAGGTGAGAACTAGGGAAAAGGTCTTTGAAAATACTGATGGACCTTAACACTGTTCAGTTTGACAGCTACTCTCTCCATAGTTTGACTTCAGGCCAATAGTTTTTATAGCCCAGCTGATGATTAGGTTTACGCTGTTCACCATTTATGATTCAAAAGAACAATAGCTAGATGGACTTCTGGTGATACCAGTTCATTGCTTTTGAATAGCTATTACAATTAACTAACCATAGAACAACCAACCTGTTCACTTCTGATGACTTCAAAAATACATGGCTTACAAAACACATGCGCACAGCGTGTTATCACAGGAAGAGTCAGTGATTCCAAGCAAACTGCACATTCTTCATCTGAACCAGAGCTCAGAACCAACTTCATTTTACTCACTAATGTCTCATGCAGTTCTTCAGGAGTTTTATTATCTGCAAATACAGAAAGATATTTAAAAACAGATTTCCATACAGGAAACACTCTGAGCTGGCACACATCAACACAGTTCCATTGATCAAAATGCAATTAGGACAGTTTATACACAATGAGGATATAGCCTACAATGCATAAAAACACAAGCTACCAAATACTCCAGAAAATTCCAACCTACTATTCCAAAACACATTAAGAGTAATCTTACTTGGTAAAATAGTAATTAGAATTCAAAGAGCCTTGACTGCAGGCTCAGTGATAGTACATGTGCGACACAATCCCCGATGGGAACAAGCAGTTTTCATATGGCAGCTGTTCAAGTAGTAACAATAATACGGAGATGACACTATTTATATGTACGAGTGCTTTATTTTTTAAGTAAATAAATTCAAATCATACTAGTTACTAATTAATTTCGAAATAATTATTGAACAATTATCCAATCATTTCTCCATCCTGTATTTTTCAGGAAGATAAATGACAACCTTCTAAAAAAGGTTCTGACCATATCTCATTGGTCTTTCAGTTTCCTGAAAAATCACACCTATACCAATGGCATCTCAAAATAGGATTTTTCAAACTATTAAAATTTGAGAATTCTCAAATTTAGAGTATTTCAAACAGACTATACTTTCTTCTGAAAGAAATGCATATAATTTTTAACACTATGCAGCTGGACAGTTCTGGCTTGTCAAAAATAAAATTTCACTCTCCTTGCAGTCCTCTGTGTTTACCCTTCCTTACAGCCGTAACAAAGTCAACAGTTTCCTATTCTGCTGAAGAGGCTATGGTTCTGCTGAGATGGCTACCAATCTACAAGCCATTCCCCAAAGCTCCTCTACATCTTCTCTCCTGAGGCAAAGAAAAAAAAATTTGCTGTAAAAGCACTTCTGTGAATTATTACAACAGCAGATACACTGCTTTTTAACAAGCCTTCTGCATTTGGCTCTGCAGAGGTCCTCTTCGGTCATTTCTGTATGGGCTGTCAAAGCTTATTAACTCCAGCTTCTAGCTTTCATAACCACTCATACTTCATTGCTTTCGTTCATATTTGAGTATGCGCTTGAGTACCCACTTCTCAAACATATTCAAACATACTATGGTATGAAAAAAGTAAAAGTAACAAAGTTAAAAGTTCAATAATCCAAGCTGAAAAGCGGAAGGCTGGCTGAAAGAGGAAGGCTGAAGCTAGAAAGCTTGGAAAACACACAAACGTCGTTTCTGTTCTTGAATACAAAGTGCGAGTCCTGTTTTTAGAAACACAGGAACCAAAAGCATTCACTCACCAGCTGAAAAACTAGAAGAAGATGTATTTATACAAAGATGAGGATGACAACAAAGCTGCCTCAATCTGAGCAGGACACCAAGGATGTCAGCATAGTGAGTTAGTACAGTCCCTTCACTGAAAAATCTGAACAAGAGTTTTATCATTAGTGTGAAAAGCTACAGCCTGAAGTAACAGATGACATCAAGTGATCAAGTTTAGCTGTTAGAATGATTCTCTGATTTTTCACTTTCCTGTTTGAATATATTTTCTCAAATCCTCTCGTGAAACAAGGTACAAAATGCTACCAGTAGTATGTTCTACTAGAAGAAATGCTAACATGTGGTGACAAAAATTTTAAGGCCATTCTTTACGTATCTGGTATCCCTTTCGTTTCTCACAAGACAGAACTTCTAATACATAGTTCTGCAATAGTCTCTACTTCACTCTTCAGAACTGAACAGATGCTACGCTAATTTGCAATTATTAGCTTACAGCATACAAAATGACACACTTGGCTACTAGAGCTAACATAATGAAAACTTCCGAAATGCAAGTCTGTGATATCAAACTTCAACCTTCTGGATTAAGAAAGCCTTCTACTTACCTGCTAATAGCAGCTTTGCCCTCCTTCTTCACAGACTGATAGATTTGCCTCTCTTCCTCTGTAAGCGTAACATGCTGAATAAGTACTTTACGTTCTGGTAACTCCAAAATGGGTTTTCCTTTAACTTTACTTGTTTTAGTTCTTCTAAGGGTGATACTCCTAATCAGAGACTGTAAACGCCTAAAAATACATATATAGACAATATATTACCCAGCTGGGGTTGGCTTGTTGTTTTGGTTTTTTTTTTTGTTGTTTACTGCATAAATACATGTTCTGTACAAAATCCAAGCCCAGGAGTACAATATAATTAATCAATCTGAAATATTAAGTAATTCAAATTATTTAATATTTATTAAATTAAACTAAAAAATTTAAGTAAGAACTAATGACACCTGCATTCCAATTTTAAACATGAAACACTAATTTGTCACATTGCCCAAGCACTGCCAGTCATACTCATTCACAAACCCTTTGGGAACACTTCGTACCCAAGTCCTCCTGGAGCTCCCATTGTGACTGGACGTTGAATCGTTCTGTGCCACCACTCTCGATCAGTGAAAGGTTTCAGTTTTAAGAAGGAAATAAGACACCACAAATCCTTTACAGAATTCTGAATAGGAGTGCCTAAACAGAAAACAAACAAACAAAGATTGTAAAACCTCAAAGAAACTAAAAAATACAATTTTTTAGTCAAAGTGAAAGTTCTGTGCTTTCTCCAAAACATACACCATGGACAAGGTCTCTCATAACTAGGTTGACATGTCATTAAGTAGAATACGTATTATTTTCTTAACTAAAATATTACAAAACACTTATACATTTAAGAGTGAGAAAACTGCAGCTCTCAGTGCTGGGAAGACTTGGATGTTATTCTTTCCTTTCAGCTTCACCAGCAGTGGTTATACCATGATCTTCTTTAAATTACATTTAAGGATCACATGCTTGCATGGTCCCTGGCAGTTTCTAGGATGACTATTACATTTCCAAAAGCTACTGAGGTTCGTATAAGTACCTAAGAGTGTGAGCTTCTAACCAGACATAACATGTCAGTTCATAAATAGGTCCCTTTTTACTTGCACTTCCATCAAACCTGTGTACCAAAAGTTATTTTAAAATTTGTGTCTATGAACTGAATAAAAACAACAACAAAAAAAAAAAAAACCCCCAAACAAAACCACCAAGCCACAAAACCAAGCAAACAAAATCAAAAACAACTAAAAGAAGACACACCTAAATCACTGCTCAAAGACAAGTTTAAAAACATTCCAAATGAATCTGACACAGACATTAACCATCTCCCAGAAAAAGCCAAAGTGGAAACACAAGATGGTGTTATACTAAGATGATTTGCACTGCATTTCCTCTGGTGTCAAATATTTTACCTGTAAGTACCCATCTTCTGTGTCCCTCCAGATTTAAGGCAGCTTTAGTTTGCTGAGCATTTGGATTTCGTATAGTGTGCCCCTCATCCAACACAATTCTCAGCCACTTGACTTTGTGTAAAGGGCTGTCACCTCTGATCTGAAACACAGTATTCTTTTAATCTTTGACTCAAATTAAAATCCTTTTTTGCAATTTGGATTAAGCAAGCTATTAATATAACAATTCCACAATTAATAATGGATAGTATTTATTCGCATCTTGTTTATTTATCAGCACAGAAGAGCAAAACTAAGAATGAGGCATTCCTTCTTTTAGATTTAATGATTCCTGGAAAATGTTACCAGTCTTCTCATACCTGAATATGAGAAATGAGCTACAGCAAAAATAAGCTTAGCCGGAAAAGAAGAAAGGCTTCAAAGACACAGAGATATGGAAACTGGATCAGAGAGCAAATTAAAAGTTTATATTATACTTAAAGATGTAATCTTCAGGCTTTTAAAATGGCTGGAATTTCTATGAAAACCATCACTTTACAAATACATCTCATGCAATGAGCTACTTGGTTGCAGCCCATGTGCAACAAGAACTACGGAATTATGGTTTTAAATGCTCCATATTCTTCAAATTTGATAGGAGAAGGCAGAAATGGGAGCCTCATGTCACTGAGATTTGGGGAGATTTACATACTTGCCATCCTTTTCTATCCTTAAAAAGTCTCTTCCTTAAGCTGCCCTAAGTGCAGCCAAATAATTTTCTCTAGAGGAGCAATAAAAAACTCCCTTCGTTACCACAGCGAACCCGTAAGAAAGTATGTAAAGCAAAACTACAGCTATAACCTTTTGATTGCCTACTGGAATAGCACTTGAATATACTGCCATCATTAGCCCAAACACTGGGAGTCTTGAACAGTAAGGGATCTTCAAAGAACACTTTCTCATTTACTTACTCCGTAATCAGTAGCTAAGATGTTGTATGTTGTCAGTACGATGTCTTGTTCTGAAAGAACTGATGGGTCCTTGTTACGGTCAGAACCATAATAAACATAAATATTTACATGAAAATCTTGGTGGATATGTTGTTCAAACTGGTCCTGAAAGAAAAGTTGTCAAAAGTCATCCAAAAGACACTGTGTTACTACGTGATTGTTAGAATGAAATTCTTGTAAGTTGCCTTAACTTCCTCTAGCTCTGTGACATGCTACATCCACTTGGATAACAAAAGCAATTTGAATTTGGGTTTCTTTTTACCTCTCCACCCAGGTGAGAAGAAGGACCAGAAGTAGTCACCTCAGTCATTAGTAATAGACACAGTATCACATTCTGGTAACTCTAGCTCTACTTCTGGCACAGTATTAGTTCACATCCTGATGGTATATGCACTTCAAAATCTACTGTTCCTCCCAAACTGTAACGGAAGAGCTTTTATGTTCTTTTTCACTTTCTACCTTCATCTTCTCATTGTTTATTCTTTCACTGTTCATTTACAGCTTCTTCCCCTTACTGGGTTAACCACCTAAGTTTTAACATAAATGACGGCACAATTGTCAAAGTATTCATTTTAAAACCAGTGTGTATATTCCCTACAATTTGTTCTGTGAAGCACTCAGCATACAGTAATCTCAACAGCCAATAAAAATCAACAATTTGAAGTTTGAAGCACCAGAGTCACAAGCTTTCTTTTTAAATACTTAATTCAGTTTTGAGTTGAAAGTACTTTTTTTTTTTTTTTTTTTTACACTATTTGACATTTCCCAATTACACAATTTCAATGTTTTACCTACAGCCTAGGATTAAATTGTTTCCTTTTCTTATTAATGTCCTAACCACAAACAGCAAAAACTTCCAAATAAAATATAACTTGAAAGTTAAAGATATCCCCTTAATATTTGTATTCAAAATGTCATGAAAACAAAAAAATTTAACTAATGCAGAGACAGAGCTAGAAGGGCCCTTCAGCCTGTTCACCCCAGCAGACCTACTCCCACAAATCACCAACAAGACTGCCAAATTACTGAACATCTCTAGTAAATGAAATGTCACATGCATTATCAATTAAGTACAATCGTATTTTATTCTGGGCATGCAAGAAGAAGGACCTGTCTCCTCCACCTTCCTCATCTGGTTTAAGGAGTTAAATCACACGAGTTCCAGAAGTGCCAAAGTGAATCTGCCCAGTCAAAAGCAGGGAAAGTGAGCTTACTCTTTCCGATAGTGGTAAGCTCGCTACTCATGGAACCGCACTCTCATTACAATACTACTCCAGTTTTTCAATTTCTATCAAATAAACCTCCCTTGTGAAAGCAGCTCTGTTTCATAAAAAAGGTAAACCGTGACCTTTTACTAGCATGAGAGACTACAGGGAGTACTATTTCTATGGCATCATAATCAACATATAGCACGTTTACACATTAAAACAGCTTAGCACTTACAATCCAGTTGCTTAGGACAGACAGTGGACATACAATCAGTGTTGCTCTGGGGTCACCATCAGAATATTTCTTCTCAACTGACTGAACGCTAGTGACACCTGAGAAAACAGAAGTCGTATTTAGTGGCGTAACAGTTCACTTTAAGGCAAAGTAGAAGTTCAAGAAACTTACGGTTCCCTGAAGTCCTTTCTAAATTTCTTCACCTGAACAGCATCAAAGCAATTTACAAAGACATAAGCTTCATTTATTAAATCAAATATGTATAATACTTCAGCTTCCAAAAACTCAGATATTAATATTGTCTGTTTATCCCTTCATTACCTTTTCTCTTTGTTTGTCTTTTTAAACAAGTAGATGAAGGTAGAAGAACAGATGCAAAGCCAGTATCTTCTTGGATAACACAGGAAGTTGCTGCAAAAAGCCAGACAAACACAGGTTTTTCACCCCACGCAGAGCATGTGTGTGCATTTATTTTTATGACACGCTTCATAAAAGTCAAACCTGTTAACCAGATTACTTCTCCTCTCCAATACAATAATGCAGAATATCTCGAGTTGGAAGGGACCCATAAGGATCATGGAGTCAACTCCCTGCTCCTCACAGGACTACCTAAAACTAAACCATGCAGGTAAGAGCATTGTCCAGACACTCCTTGAACTCTGACAGGCATGTGTGTAGAAATATAGTATCTTATACATCTATTTCAGGTTATGAATCTTCAGAGGAATGCAGTTTACCAATCATTAAAAAAAAAAAAAAGTTTAGCACAAGGTTTCACCCCAAGTACTTTAAACCTAAACTTAACTGCTTACTCCAGAGTACCTGTAGCCCTTCATTTTTTTTCCATGGAAGATACTTAGTTCAACAAATGACACATGTTCTTGACTCTTCATGATCCCATTTCAGGTATTTACCACAAAAGATGGGACTTAATTTTCTGAATTTGTTTTTCCAACTCTAGTGCCCTGACAACAAGTCTATGTAAAATTCTAAAAATCTTAGCAATTCTGGTTTTCACCATCCATTTGACCCTGCTCATAGCTTGTTACACCACCACTCATTCAGCTAAGGAAACAAACTACAACACTTAGGACTAAAGCACTGCTTTCCTGTTCAGCAATTTCTAAAGTTATATGCTTAAAGTTTTGGTTGAATAATAAAAAAAAACCCCACACCAACAAAAAAACCCAAGTAGTTTAGTTAATTCCTTTTCCAGTTAATCTGAAATCCTGTTCAGTTTGCCTTCAGAAAGGAAGACACCAGGTGTTACAGTAACCAATTGAAAAAAAAAAAACACAAACCCACCAAAAAAAAAAAATCAACTTACTCTCTGTTTGTTGCAGTAGCCATTCTTCAGACTCTCCCAAGTCACTGCTTCCTGAATATCTGGGTTTCTTGGCTTTATCTCTAAGATATCATCATTAAGAAAGAAAAAAAAAAAAAACAAAAAACACAAAAACCCCACAACTCTACTACTGCTTGAATTTACATACTAAATCTCAAGAGCATAAAGGCAATGAACTTGGTATTGCAAATAAGATACCACTGTGATTTTAAAATTTTCTCTTTAGAAGGGTTACAAAAAGGGAAAGCACAGAACACAGCTGCAGGGTGAGTGATGCTCATAAAACTTAGTACAGATTATCACTGAAGTTCACACCAATTATAAGGAGAGGCTAGTGTGGTGGGAAGGTTCAAACACATTAGTAAGCCTCACAACTTCATCAGCTCAAAGCTGTGTCTCTGTCAGAAGCATGCCTGCGAAGTATTTCTTAACCACTTAAAAACCTAATTGATACTAGAAGAAAGACTACTTCACAGCCAGTTTTTTAGATGCCACACACTGATGTTATCAGGCACCTTTACTACTGAAGGAGACATCCAAGCATGCAGTCACGCAAGCCACGTAGAATGAGTTAATGCTTTTTTAATATATTCCAAAGTGCAACACAGATACAGAACACTTATGATAAATGAAAGCAGAAGTATAGCATACTGAAAGGTGAGGAGAGAGCAGGAACACATTTTAGGCTAAGGTTAATCATAACCAAGTATCACTTCATTTTTACTCAAAATCTATGTAGCAAACCAACAAAAAGAAAAAGATTATTCCAGCTATCTACCTTTTTGGAGGACAACTTGAGTATTTCAACGGAGTAGTTTCAAACTTTTTTACGTTAGAACCACCAGGCTCCATCACATTGCTAGAGTCTTCATAAAGAAGAAATAGGTATTTATGAAAAATACACATAGTCTTCAGCTTGGTTATCAAACCAGCTTTAGTATAACTTTATCAAGAACAAGTACAAACTTCCTTTAAAACAACCTTAGTTCTGCATGGGACAAGTACTACTGATACTGCGATCACAAGTGAAAAATAAAAATACTCTTAAAACAATCTTAAATATTTACAAAGTCATAAAATGTGTATTGAGTTTGCAGGTGGTCAAAAACAGTCAAGAAAAGAGGAAAAAACAAATGTAAGCATTGTACTATTAACAGTAAGGGTAAAGTTTTATAAAGAAGTTTTAAATAATGCTAAATGGTAAAGGTTTTTTACAGGTCAAACCTTACTAATTAATTATTTCCACGTTGCCAAAAGCTAAATGAATAACAGCAACATTAACAGAATAAATGTGGTAACATCACAGATGCACGGGGGAGGGGTTTGGGGAGGAGTTGACGGGACCGGCCGCTCCTCCTCCTTGGGTGGGCGTACT